CACTCGGTCTTGGAAGGGTTGAGCCTGAGTCTGTTCCTCCCCATCCAGACCCGTACGGCCTCCAGGCAACGGGTCATCACGTCAAGGGCATCGTTGGGGTGGCCTGGGGTGGAAATGTACAGCTGTGTATCATCAGCGTACTGATGGAAATCCACCCCAAAGCCACGAATGATCTCCCCCAGCGGCTTTACATAAATATCTATGAATATTAGACCAGTATTTCTTAGCATTAGGGCATATCCACCAGGCATGGTAATAAGTGCCTGGCTGTTGTTTACATTTCCAGCAAGTATCTGAAACATTTTTAAACATTTTCGCTAAGCGAACTGGTGTCATATGCCATCTGTAAAACATCTTGTATAAGTTTTCTTTATATGCTACCGCTTTTGTAAGCTTAATATTTTTATCCCAAAGTTTTTGCCAGTCTTCCAAATCTATAGAATATCCAAAATTCTTTGCCTATACTTGAGATAGATCTTAACAATGGTGAAATGTGTTATCAGAGCTTCAGGGTATAGAATACTTTAGGGACAAACTTCATCTTCTTCCCCAGATTCACCCACTTACCAGATTAAAATCCATTGACTTTACAGTTAAAGGTATATAAAATGCAAATATATTCAATAATGATGTCTGCCAACAAAGGATAAGTAAACTGCTGGAGCAAGCAACCTTTCCTGCTGGAGGGTCATAGCTATAGACTAAAGATAGTTACTATTATCCTGGTATAGAACCATCCAGTTCAAGTCATTGGAGGCACTTTTAATAATATTGTAAACTAGCATAGGAAAACATAAGGGACTTTGTGAAGTTTTTCATTCTAAATTACCCATACAGATAGTCATTGGTTTACAATGGCAACTGGGACTAGGATTGCCATTGCTAAGCAATGCAATCATAAAACATATCATATGACAACATCGCTTAGCAACAGCAACCCCAGCAGTCCTGGTTGCTTTTAGCCCCAAGATGTGCAGGTTATTAAAAAGGAAGCAGGTTATTAAAAAAGGAATCGCAGTTAAGAAGCACCAGGGTGCCACAGGAGGCTAGTGTGATGTTGCAGGGAATGGGGTAGGCTAGAAGATGTACCAGCAGCACTGGCATAGGCCAGAGATGAGTCAAGGGAGGCCCGGGGATGGGGGGGGAAGTCTTAGGACACTGTGGGCAAGGGATGCTGCAGATGCAATTAGGTTTACTGACATCGTACTATTGGATCAAGGGAAAAATCTACAAATATTTAATAGGAGGATGAAATAAATATCTTGGTTTGCACAAGGGAGTTCCATGCTACATTTCAATATATTTCTTCCAGAATTCCTGTAACATTAGTTTTTTTGTTTTAATTTGGTATTTTCCTTTTCAGTTGTTTTTTTTAATTGGTAATTGTCTAATTCAATTGTTTTTATTAGCAGTAGATGCTTTTTACTTTTTAAAAGCCTGTCAACTGAATGCAAATCAAATGTAATTCCGAATTGCAAATGTATAAAATTTGGAAATGTGAATGTAATTCTGAATTATATAGCAAAAATTTCAAATTGATTGTTATAAATTAGTTGAACATAGGACGTTGCAGAAAAAGATAGTTTCTTACAATGGAAAAATGATACCATTCCACCTTTGCAATCTTTGACTGGGAATACATTTCACCCTCTGCTTATCAGCTAGATTTCTACTGATGTAATGGAAATACTGATCAATGTTAGTATGTGGTCAAAGTTTAATGCTATTTTAAAAAACTGGGTTACTTATATACTTTTATACTTTTTATACTTTGTTCTTTTTCATTTTTTTATCCTTTCTTTCTGGATCTTTATATAAAACATATATAAGATTTACTGAGGATCACCTCAGAACACTAAACCTGATACAGCATTGCCTAGAAATATAATTAGTGGGATTTCATATTCAAAGAAATGGAACAAAAGGTCAGATATTTTATTTATTTAATGTAATACTAAGCCACATACAATGATCAATCTTTGATGTAACCCTTAAATCCATTGAAAAAAAATCTAACCAAGAGCCTAAAAATCTGAACTCATTTAGTTGCTCCCAAGAAATCAATCTCTGCACACAACATACAGAAAACAAACAAATTAAAAAATGTAGGTGATAACTAATTTCTGTGGAAGCCTCACTCCATGAAAACTCAGTGGTTTGGACATTAGGATTTACATAACAAATTTCAAAAGGCTGTGAGTGAAATTTTAAAAAATGGAATTCTGGCTGATTATTCAATATGCCCAACATGAGTCACATGTCACATGCCCAGATACCTACTACTGCTTATTATTAAGTTATTAGCTCAAAGGCCTCCAGCAAGATGAGCTGAAAATACAGAGATATACAATAAGTAGAATATTTTGGAAATCAGCTCAGTCACTAAAAATAGAGACCCTAAAAATATTTAAATGCATTCATTATTGAACAACCTGATAATTACAGTGTTAAACCTTAAAACACAGAAGATAAATTCATATTACACAAAAATGCTAACAATTTTAAACACTGTTATTCAGAGATACTCATCCTGCTAAATATTGAATTCCAAAGCCAATAAGTAATGCTTTTAACCACTGTGACAGCTGATGGCTTTAAAACATTACCCCCAGTATTAGGACCATTCATTTTACCAGCCATCACCATACCTAAAAACATAGGTAGAAAGATGAAAGAAGTTTCTTTCTAGAAAGAAAAGATAATTTGTGTTTCTTTAGACACAAATTATTAATCTAGTAACTGAAAGGTAGAACACAAAAATGTCTTCACATAAAGATGTAGTTAAAAGCATTTGGCAGTGATGTGAATAAGCATCACTGGATAGAACAATAATGTTTTACAGCCAACCAAGGGAAAAATTACTTTTGATTAAAATCCAGAATGTCATCACTTGAGCCCCAGGTCAGTGCTCACTGCTACTCTGTACTCATCTCCACCAAATGAAGCTACATCCCATGGCATCTTCTGTCCCAAAGTTCATCTATGTAAGGTAATAAATTAAAATTGGCAAGACCCCAGGACAAGATAACTTGTTTTTGCAGATAATACCTTAAAAATGCAACATCAGAGTGTAGTCTAAATGCTTGTGGTAAAAACAAGACCATATTAGAAACAGGAAGAGGAAGAAGTTCTAAATGAAAGGCGAATACTATTACACAAAGATACATCCATTGCGCTTTCAATTAAATGTGCTAGTAGAAACACAGGTTAGATTAAGATCTGTACTAGTGTTAATTAAAGAGAACTATATATTAATATGTGGCTATGGGATAGATTTTCATATAAGCAAGATGTACAAGCTCTGACTAAAGTCAAACTTCCACCGATGGGTCCCCTCAGCAAGATGTCTGGAAGCCAACTTACTCTTTACACAGAAACAAAATGCATGAATTAGAAACCAGGACCTACCATTGAGACCATTTGGGATGCTCCTGTGGTGAAGAGGAGCAGAAAGGTCATCCATAGATCTCCGGATGGCTCCAGCTTTGTTTTCAACAACTTTGTGATGGTGAAGGAGATGGTGGTGATGGTGATCTGGACTTCCTGCACTGCCAGCACTAGATGTGCTACTCCCATCTCCAACATCCCTGGTTCCAGAACCCCCATTGAGGTTGGTGAGACTAGCTTGGCTATCTATGGAGCTTCGGGAGCCTGCTCCATTCCTCTCTTCATCCAGCATTAGCACAATCTCCTTCAACTCAACATTCTCTCTCAGGAGGGATTCTTGCTTAGCTTCTAATTCTTTGAGCTTCTGCTGGTACATTCCAACTTCCTTCCACATTACACCTGCAGTGTGTCTCCCAAACCTCTGCCATTCTCTGGACAGCTTTTTCCCCTTTTGCCTGTCATCATCCAAGAAACAGCAAAGCTCCCTCAGTTCCTGGTTATCATCCTGGAGCTTCTGATTAACTTCTTTCAAACCCCTGATCTCATGCAGGTGGACTTGCAGTCTTCTGTTCACATCTTTCATCAAGTTGCTGTGCTCCACCATCAAGTTCATTTTTTCATTTTCTACTTTCTTCAACCTTTTCACCAACTCTTCCTTGTTCCATCTCAAAAGATCTTCTTCTGTCATTTTGGTCAGGTCTTCCTTTGACCCTTCCACAGAATTTTTTGCCATATTTATAGTCTACTTCCCCCTTTGGAAGGAGATATGAAGACACAGACTGTTCTTTTCCAGGAATATTATTTTAAATACTCTGTAAGTTCAAACTTCACAGCAACATTGTGGGATGTAATTTTGTATTTTAAAAATCCTACAATTCTTCAGGGAGGACAAGATCACAAAAAACTGTAAATCTATTCATTTCTGTAAAACGTTTCCTCTGCCTTACAACTCCCATGCCTAAATAAAATAAAAATGAAAAAGAATGAGCACCCAAAGCTTCGTATATATTTTTAAAAGCCTTTCAAAAGTGAAGCAAGTCAACTTACCAAAGGCTATCACAGCTGCAGCAATAAGAATGAATTTGTTAGCTTAAAAATCAACCTGCTTGGGTTCAGTATCCACGCCGCGTAGATTTCCAACAGCTAAAACCTATATAAGGTTGAGAAACGGTCAGGTTCTAGCTTAAATGACCCAACCCCTCCGTCCGCAGCAATTAGAGTTAGACAGAATAAAATAAAATGCAGATTTTTTAGAACCGATCCCTTCCTCCGCTTTTTTATGCTTTTAGTTCTAAGACAGCCTTCCGGATGATGTCAGTCTCTTTGTAAACTGCATTTAAATTTTCAGAAAAACCATCGGAAAGGAACTGAGAGCTTGGAACAAGGCATCGCCTATTTCAAGCGAGAGGGAAGAAGGAAGAGGGGAAAGGACATTCCAGGATGAGAATCTGCAATACACCTTGGCGAAGCAACACGAAAACGAAAAGCAAGGACCAAAAATAAAAGAGAAATCCAATAAGCACAGCGGCTTATGTACGCGTACAGCTCCACTCGATCCTCCAGCACTGCTCGGTTTTATCGGAGGGAGGGAATGAGCGGGTTTGGCTCCTCCTCCTGACTCCTGATTGGCCAATCAGATGGTCCGGGCTCGGTTCTTCTCCACGCCCCCAGCCTGGTGCGTTCAGGTTGCATTTCACTTTCCGCCTTGGGTCGGGTTACGGCGAGAAGTGATAATTTCTCCCGGAACCAATGAACTGGCGGCAAGAGCGCATTTCGAAAAAGCAGGTACAAAGGGAAAGGTAGAGAGCCGTGCCTCTCTCTTAAAGGGGCCGCAATCTGTTTTCCACCTCTGCCTGGAGCGGGTCTCTGTAAAAACCATCCCTCGCCTCTGACTTTCCCGAAAAGTCCGCTCTAATCCGCTTCCATTTAGGGAGATAAGTTTGGACGAGAGGATTCAGAGCTTGGGACGAGTTGCCCTGTGGAGTCAAAAGGCCGTCGGCTCTACAGTACTTCAGTTCTCGCTGCGGGGTTTATAACGCCTCCCTCGCCCGTTAAATGGCGTTTTCTCTCGTCCCCTGCGCCTTTCTGCCTTGGCGAGCCGCGGGCTCCATTTTGAGGACGACGACGAACGCGTGAATAGTTTGACGGCTCGCGACCCTGCATTTCACCCGGCCTTTGTAACGAGCAGGAGAAACGTTTGGGTAGGCGGCGGGTGGGCAACGGTTGGGGTTCCCGAGGAAGCCCCCACGGAGCGCTCACCTGGGCAAGAGCCGAGAAACCTTTGCGAATTGGCAGGACGCGCCTTTCCAGAAGGGCTTTAAACCGCGGGCCCTCTTCGGTGGTGATAAGCGATCCGAGGTGAAACAACTCCTGGCAACCCCGAGAGGGCGGCAAGGAGAAACCAGGAGCCTGGTCTCTGCACGCTTAGGTGGAAGCGACTCGGAACTTGTGGGGGATTGGAGCTCCTCTGGAAAAATCCCGCCAGAGCTTACAGTGTTTCTCAACCTGTGGGTCGGGACCCCATTTGGGGTCGATTGACCATTTCATGGGGGTCGCCAAGCAAGGCTGTCCGCCATTTTTTTTGTCCGCCATTTTTTCCCCCTTTTCCGGTGGGTGCCTTACCTCCCTTGGGCTGGGCCAGCTGGTGGTCGGCCTGCTCCGTCTCTGCCACTTGCCAGCTACACCTCGGCCGGCGCAGGGGGCGGAACCACGCATGCGCGGCGTTCCCGGGCAGGGAAAGTCCTCGACTTACGACCAGTTGGGTAGTCCTCGACTTACGACCGGTTTAGTCCTCGACTTACGACTGGTTTAGTCCTCGACTTACGACCGGTTGGGGTCGCGGCATTAAAAAGGTTGAGAACCACTGGGTTAGGAGGTTATTTGGAGTGAACTCGTATGGAAGGCAAGTTTGGATAGCAGGCGAGACTAAAAAAAATGGGTTCATTTACTATATACCTGGCGAGGGTGGGGGAGGGGAGAGAAAACCTAACCATTGAGGCCCCTTTATGCTTATGCTGCGCAGAGTCCAGCGAGAAGGCCTGTTCAGTAAACCCTGGTTTAGTTAACCATAGTCAAGCTCCTTGTGTCAGCAACAGCTTTGTAAAAATGCTGTGAACTCCCACCATCACATCTTCAGTCGCATCTGATTCTCAGACTGCCTGGACAAATCCCTTGCAGGTTCTTGGTAGGTTTTTCAGAAGTGGTTTGCCATTGCCTCCTTCCTAGGGCTGAGAGAAGGTGACTGGCCCAAGGTCACCCTGATGGCTTTGTGCCTAAAGCATGAGCTGATGCCTTGTCCACGACACCAAACTGGCTGTCACTATGAATGTAATGTTCTTTAAAATAGCAGGAGGCTGGCAATGTTGCTGAGCCTCTGGGAGCACTGGGGATTTGGAGAGATTGTCACAGGTACTGACACAAAGTAGATAGCATAGTGCAATTGCCTATTTCCAAAAGGGCTGTCACTGACAAAAGTCAGTCAGAGAATAAAGATCTATCAGAAGGCAAACTGGCCCTTGTTCCCTGCCCACCCACTTATGATAGTTCTTTATTTACTACCAATTGAAATGGGCTGTTTTCAAGCATAGGGCAGCCTTCCAAACAGTGCATTTCTAAGAATGCCTTTGGGGCCTATTTGGATCAGCAGTTTTGCACAACAAAGATATTGCTAGGGGTGCTGTGCTTTGGTTAGCAGCATGGCAGGTTCTTGTTCCTTTATTTTAATTAAAAGATTTGTTTAAAACATACACATTAAGATAATAGGGAAAGCCTGGCAAACATCAGAAGAAGTGTTCTCAAGTATGTTTGCTGTTGTAGGTGTCAACTTGCCAATCCTGTTCTAATCAAGCTCCTCCAACTGATGCTGTCCAAATATTGTCCAATTTGCCTACAACCACTAAGTAATAAATTAGCAACATTTTAGCCTAGCATGTGGTCCAAGCTCAGCTCTTGTAGTTACTGGTTCAGCCTGCCACACAAATCCAGAAAAACGCTCCATTACATGAATGGATAACTGTTTTGGACTTCAGTTTCCATTATGTGGTATGTCCTTGTTGGCTGTTCCAGTTAAGGCTGATGGGTATTGTAGTTCACAAATATTTAGGTTCCCTGAATGACTTAATCTTGTATGTTTACACAACACAATCCCAAGTTTTGTAATCACAAAATTGGTGATTTCATAACTCTGAAGTTAGTGTGTGTAATATTATTAAGATTAAGGAGTGATTTATGAAGTTTCTTAATTGAACTTTTACGCAATGCTATTAAGGGGAAAAATTAAATTCTTTACAAGTAGTTCTCCGCTTACAAATATTCACTTAGTGGACATTTAAAGTTACAATGGCACTAAAAAAAGTGACTTACCATTTTTCACACTTATGACCATTGCAGCATCCCCATGTTCATGTGATCACAATTCAGACGCTTGACAATTGGTATGTATTTATGATGGTTGCAGTGTCTTGAGGTCATGTGATCACCTTTTTGCCACCTTCTCACAAGCAATGGGGAAGCCAGATTCACTTAACAACTGTGGCAGGAAAGGTTGAAAAATGGGGCAAAATCCATTAACAACTATCTTGCTTAGCAATGGAAATTTAGGGCTCAATTGTGGCTAATATAATTTATTTCTGAGTAAATATGTATAATATTACATATAGGAAAAGAAGAGCCAGAGCCAGGAGCAGAATCAAGAGAGGAATCAGCCTGGAGTCATTATGTTCCTGCAAACGGTCTAAGTCCAGTCCACCTTGAATGCCTTCCTATTCCTGCTTGTTTCCCTTGACTGTTAGTAGGTCAGATTCTTATAGAGAGCTTAAGTTTGCAATAAATCTTTATATTCATTTGAACTGCCTGAATCTCCTGATTTCCCCAGCGCTTGACATCAGCCCTCTTGAATTCTGCTAATACTTATCTAGCAGTAAGTTAATATATAAAAGGTGCATAGGTATGAGCAAAAAAACCAGCTTAACTGGAACCTAGTGTGGTTCTGATTCTTGTACCTGACATTACACTACAGTTAGCTTTTACAATTTGTGTAAAATATTGTATTTTATTTATTTGGAAAGTTATACAGTGCCCTTTCAAACCACTTTTTTTTAAATTTAAACTAAGAAATAAAAACAGGAGCTTGTAGGGTGTAGGTAGTAAAGCAGCAAGAAATAATGTATTAAACAATTTAAAAGTTCAATGGTGGTATTGCGATATTAGCATATTAAAAGGTTTGGAAAATGTTGGAATATTAATATATTAAAAGGTTTGGAAGATTGTAATTATTACTGAGCTGTCTATGTGAGATGATAATACCTTATATCAGGCATGTCAAAGTTGCGACGTCACATGACGTCGCGTGACGTATCGTGACTTTTCCCCATTGCCGGCAATGGGGTGGGCGCGGTTTTGGTGTGACGAATCCGGCCTGCGGACCGGCAGTTTGATATGCCTGCCTTTTATAGAGAGGTAGATCATGCAGGGTTTTCAGTCTTTAGGCTTTTTTTTAATATAAAAGTGGTTATATAATATATAGGCAAATATCATCTTCCATAATATATGTACTGATTTCTGTTGTTTCACTGTAATTTTTTAATTGAACAAGTTTTATAGATTCTTTTTAAGTGATATAAAATTCTGCAAGTATCATGAAAAGAAACAGTGGGATAAAGTGCAAATGCTCCAAGCAATGTGCCTCAAGTATTCCATCTTTAGCTGTCCGGAAAAATCTGTTTTCTGTCTTTGAAAATACTAGTCAAAAATAATCTGGACACATCTCTAAAGAATAGAAGACATGTATGTCATTTGAAGACAACAGAATTCTTGTAAGTAGGATGCATGGTTATGATAAATGCGTGCATCCTGTTTCTACAGCTAGCTAACAAAGCCAATTCCTGCCCCTTCTCAAAGGAAATTGCTTTTTTCTGTGCTAATTTGTGACAGGGAAATAAGGCTGTTAATAAACAATAGATCAAGCATTCACATTTAGCCAAGGGACTTTCATCAAGCTGTGAATGTAAGATTTTTAATGTGCATACCACACTAAGCTTTTTATAACCACCTAATACAGCATCAATGCCTATAAAATCCACTATATTTAAGAAGACATTTTTCCTTCTCTGCTAATGGGAAAACAATTTTACTGAGTAATACTTAATATGACAAGATTACAAGGCTGGATTTTCCCTGCAGCTGATTCTTATTTTCAGGATTGTGAATTAAACTAGAGCTACCCTTTTTATGTATGATCTTCCACACAAAAATTAGCACAGAAAAAAAAGCATTTTTCAGCATTGTATGAATGCAATTTCCCTACACAGGTTTTAAGATAATTTCTAACATTTTCCTTGCTAACCTACCGTAAGTATTTATAAAGTTAGTAGGCCTTAGAAAAAATGCCTTTTCTGAAGTGTACTCATAGTTGATTATTATTAATTATTGTAAATAATTAAATAATTAAAGAAACAATCCCAGAGAAACTAAAAATACGAACTAAGAAAAAAGAAAAAAACCTGTTTTTATACTTAATAGACAGTGGTTTATTAATGAATATATTATAATCAATACAAAA